TCTCTCTCTCTCTCTCTCTCTCTCTCTCTCTCTCTCTCTCTCTCTCTCACACACACACACACACACATTTGGATTTCTATCCTTCTTAGGTTTGTTCATGGACTTCCATTCATTTCCAGTTGTTTCTAACCCTTACCTCATAACACATAACCTAACCAGCCAAATTCCAATCCACACCTTAGTCCTAAACCTAACCCCCAACACAAGAATGAAGTTCCACCATAGTTCCACCTTAGGACCGGTCTTTGATCCTCATTAGGACTACTGTTCTTGACAAGGTAGGTGTGTAAGTTTCGGTCCTTAAAAAGGTAACAAATACAAGTACAGACACACACAAAAAGGTTGGAGATGACAATAAAATATCTCACATTCTGTTTCAGCAGCAGATTGTTCACGGAAATAAATTGTTTTACTTTAGTTAAACTTTTTTTTATAAAATAATTCTGTCACGTTCTTATATTTCTCTGATGCTGTGGGTTGTTTCCACCAGGAGGTGGCAGTAAGAGCCGCTTTCTCACTGTGTTAAATTAAAGCATCAGTGTCAATAAATCAAAGCGCTTTTAGGATGTTATAATTTGGTTGTACATGTTGTATTTTTATTGTAGGAACTTGAGGGTCAGCCTTGCTGTTCTGAAAACCATAAAAAGTTTTACTTCATCTTTCTTTAGTGATGGAGAACATTTCACAGTTTTTTTTTTTTAGAAATTAGGTGTTATCTGTCACTTCAGTCATTTCCTGTTCCTATCTTCTGAAGAATTTACTTACTCTTTTTCAGTTTGTTGGCAGCTTGTTTTTCTTTGTTAGAAATTAATAGAAATGTGTACAGAAAATACTTGTAAGTATTCAGATAGATGTTCAAAAGACAAAAATAAAAGTGATTCATGTGACGACAGATGTCTCTGCAAATGAAACCCTCCTTGATGATATATATAGTTTTAGAAAATTCTATTTCCTTTCTTTAAATAGGAAGAAGAGGAAACAGAAGACTAAAAATCTGTTCACAAAATGTTTTCACTTAATCAGCGGCTGGTCATCTGAAGTTAGATGGTAAGAAAGAACAGTTTGCTTCACTCTTTATGCAGGTTTAGTTTTTTCTCGGAGAAAATAATGCTTTGTTTCATGAACGCTCCTCCAAATGTACAGCTGTCTTTAGTTTTAAAAACAATAACATCTGGTGGAAAACAGTGACTTGCTGATTTGAGTTTAAAGGTAATCTGAAACTTTCAATTCTGAATTGATGAAAACCTTAAAACCTTAATAGTTTTTTCTTCATCTAGTTCTGAGTGCAGGAGTGTGATGGCAGCTCTGTGTGGYAACATGCTGACAGTCAGTGTGTTGCTGAGTGTCTTCTGTCTTTCAGGTGAGCTCTTTCTTCACTTTAATCACTTTTACTCTGAAATATTTGACTCTGATCTTGTTTAAAGGCTTCACATGTAACCTGCTGCAGCTCAGCTG